TAAAAAGTCAAATTCAAGTAAACTGCGTGACGCAAATAGAATTCGTCATTTTCTGGACAGAAAACAATGTTTGAGAGAATTACCATTCTACAACCTCAGACAAACTGCCTTCCATAGATGTGTGGACATTACTTCTACCCTTCGATGTCAAATTTCAAGAACAAAAGAACAACTTAAAAACTCAACAATCAGAATCAAGGAACTGCTTCAGAAAGTGCAAACCACCGAGCAAAACTTTGAATCAACAAAGGAACAATTCATCTCCGTTCAACAAGAAAGTTCCGCAAAAGTCTCGCAATTAGAAACAAATATCCAAAACCTACAGAAAGCTAATCCGGAATTAAAGCAGGAAATAATCGATCTTAAGATAAAACTAAACAATGCAAATAAAAACAATAAAATGACTTCAGACCGTGTATCAGAGCTTTCTGCACAGAATCAGAAGCAAACGGAGGAAATTTTACAGTTGTCAACACAGCTATACACTGCAGATCAAACCATGAGAAGACAACAGTTTCGGTCAGAGGAGCAAGACGCCGACATCAGTAGTCTTCGCTTCCAAGTTGAGGGTCAAATTCAAGAGATCAATTCCCTACGTTTCACAATCGACTCTCAAATTCAAGAAATCAAAAACCTCCGGAATCAAATCGACGACCAAGATCAGGAAATCGAAAGGTTAGAGGACATTATTGATTACGAGAGACAAAACGGACCCAACCCTTACCCCGCGTACAACAACTTCCACGGACATTGTCAGTGCCAACAGTGCTCACCATTTTATTGAGGGTGTTCCTTTCTAAAACACGAGGACGTGTTTTCCCGGAGGCCGAAGGATATTATCACCGAGCAAAATTAACGTTTTTGAAATAAATAACTCTTTAAACATATTTTACTAAATTTGGACATTTATCTGTTAAATTCTCTATCTATTATCATTGTGTGTATATTATTTAGTTGATTGAATCTCATTCTCTTTGAAACAGGATTAAGACATTCCAATTGACTTTAAGTGACGTGTCAAAAGAATTGATACTCGTTAGGTGTAAATGCCTCAGGACCTGTTAGTCTAATATCAATAACTTTGTTTATATAATTATTTAGCAATGTCTTTTATGTCCATTCCATCAAAGAAACACACCTGTCTATCAATTAACTCAGCTAGTGTCATAATTCAATTATTGTTTACTCTCTATCTTACAAAAAGCTATGTCCATTATACCTTCTTCAGTTTGGAGGCCCGATGCTCTACCGGCCACATCCAACTCGGTTAAGACTTGTAAGCTATTATTGAAATTTATGTTGATTGTTATTTACCATCGTCTATAATAAATTCGGAAACTTAATTTTACCAGTTCTTGGACTTTATATTGGAAGACCATAAGGAATACGGCACCTTTCTCGTTTGCATTGTATTACGGCCCCACAGCGCCGCTACTTTTTACCCGCCAACATTCCTTCTTCCCCGTTTACGCTAAACAACGGATATAGTCCAGGAATTACTTTTATAACTTTATAACCAAAATCTAACTGGTTATATTTCATTGCCGGAAAAGTACTTTATGATGATAAATGTCAGAGATGAAAATTTTAAAACGTCAGAAATGAAAACTACAAAATGTAGGGAATGAAATAAACAATATATTAAAAAAAAAAAACTCCGGAAATAAAATCCTGTGCTAGGCTCATTTTCCAAAAGGGGGAGGGGTCTTTAAACCTAAGCTCGTTTTTCCGGGACAAATATTAATGCGGGAGGAAAGTCTACAACATCAGTACTTTTTAAACTATTTTGACATGTATTAGCATAATTTTGCTATACCCCACCCACCAATAATACAACAACACCATTTATAATCTTTTCCTTTTTGGGGGGGTGGGGGTGGGGTTATTGCTTAAAATGTTCAACTCGATTGACTTTGGTTTGATTTTGCCAATTAATGCACATCTTCCTTAACCAGTGTTAACACCGGGGTAATATCAAGTAGAATGAAATAATCGTTAGTCTTGAACTGGATAAGAAACGATGGTTATAAAAACACGGGGGATATGCGACTTCAAGTTTCGTCAGGTGAGACAATAGGCCTACCCCCCAAAGCACAGACATGTTGTTTTAACAACAACGGGATAGGCTAGTACACCGTAACACAAGTCCCTGTCACAGTGACCCTCCAATTATTTTATAGTTAGGTACAATATGAATCGTAAGAATTACGCATAATTATTATTAATAATATAATGAAATATCTTTCGAAAGATATGAAAATTCTTTTTGGGAAGTGGAAGTCGAACGTTGTTAGGAAAGAGACTGTAATGAAATGATCATTGTTGGACTTACGAACACCATATACTGAACAATGTGCCAGTGAAGGTATGCGTATTATATATATATGTATTTTTTTTTATTTTGCAATGATAAATTGATATCACTTAAACTATAAAAGACACGTGTCGTACATGATTTTCCCATAAGGGATCTTTGCATCTTTATATTTTTTGTTTTGTGCACTACCTGGGAGGTATGTACTACCATATGACTACGATAAGGAGCTAACAGTTAATCAGTGCTAACATCAAATTTTGAATAATTTTTTGATAGATAATTTGAGGTTTTGTTCTGAGATATATCATGGTATTAGAAATAAAATTAATTAAAATTGGCTAACGAAATCCAGCAACTAGCGAGATATCGCAAGACTTGATCCTTTTAGTATATATACAATGTACATACATGTACGTCCCTGGAACTCCATTTTGCTCGGAGGGACACCTTTATAACAACTATACCTTAAATTATTTAAAAAGATTAATAAAGCAAATTAATTTCGAATCAATAAAGGAGAAAAATCTGCATATTAAACCGAAGGCGGACCTTTTATTATAGAGGCAGGCCGGACCTTATATGTTATCGTATTAGGTCCCCCCGGACCTTTAACTGTTTAAACGAGGCGGACCCGTCCTCGATTTACTATAGAAAATCACAAATGTCGGCTGACCCCTACCACATTGTATGGCTTTGCTCTTTGTATATTCATGAATTTCAGCGATAAAATTTGTTGAATCTTATAGTTTAGATATTAATTAATGATCTGAGATGAAAAATTATGCTTAATTTGATTCTTCATTTTTTTCACATTTTACCGGGGCCCTTAAGTGCACTCGTTCTTTCAAACTACACTAAGTCTATGTAACCACTAAGTCTGGCCCAGCTGTTCTTGCCAGATTTTTGAAAGATGCAATTAAATTTTCTTTAATTCTTAATTAACACCCCTTGAAAGACGGCATGTTCCTTCATTTGAATGAACTTGAACCCCCTTCCCCAAGAATGCTTTAATTGTAGCAAGTTTGGTTGAAAATGGACCAGTTGTTCTTGAGTGGAAGTTAGGAGTGTGAAAAGTTTACAGACAGATGGATGCTGGACAAAATGTTACTAGTATCAGGAATTCAGCTCAGTTGAGCTAAAACCTATCCAATACCGATATGTAAATGCATATGTTTTAACACTCTACTTGGAATAATCAGTTTAATTTTGAAATAAATCTAAAGTTGAAAATAAATACATGGATATAGAAATTTAACATTGAAAGAAAAAAAGAAATTTGTATCTGGTGTGACTCTACAACTTGTTGAGCAAACTAGATGCCACTTCTAATATTTTGTTGTTCTGCTATTATTTAGCTTTTGACTGGAACATAATAATTTACTTAAATCTACCTCATTTTAAAAAATCTAGGCCAGAAAAATAAGGAAAAGACTCCACATTCAGAGCACATTCAAGTTTTTAGCACACCTGTGCCAAAGGCTCAAATGAGCTTTTCTGATCAAAATTTATCCTTTGTCTGTTGTTGTCATTGGCATTATTGTCGTAAACTTTTTACAATTTCATCTGCTCCTCTAGAACCACTGTGCCATTTTCAACCAAACTTGGCAAAGAGTATCCTTGGGTAAAGAGGATTCAAGTTTCCTTGGATTCAGTCTTCGCAAGAATCACTGTGACAGAAAAGATGAAACTCAGGTGAAAGGTTCCTGACATAGTGTAGATTTAAATTTGTTCAAATCATGACCCCAGTGGGTAGGGTGAGGCCAATATGGGACATCAAAGTTTTACATGGTTATGAATTGGAAAAATATTTAAAAATCTTCTTCTCAAGATCAGCAAAGCAATTATCAGTCATATTTATATGAAAGCATCAACAGGTAGTATATACTGTATATTCAAGTTTGTTCAAATTATGAGTCCCGGGGGTAGGTTGGGCCACTATGGGCAATCAAAGTTTTACATAGGAATACATAGGAAAAATCTTCTCCCCCAGATCAGCAAAGTCATGATTAGTCATATTTATATGAAAACATCCTCAGGTAGTGTAGATTCAAATTTGTTCAAATCATGATCCCCTAGGGAAGGGTGCACGAGGGGCTACAATAGGGGATCAAAGTTTTACGTGGGTATATATACATTGTAGGAAAAATCTTCTTCTCTAGAATAGCGAAGAAAGTTTACATACTAGGAATAAATGAGAGAAATCTTTAAAAATCTTTTTTTGAAGAACAGCAAAGCCAAGATCTGTCACATTATATGGAAGCATCCTCAGGTAGTATAGATTCAAGTTTGTTCAAATCATGACCCCTGGGGTAGGGTGGGGCTCCAATGGGAGATCAAAGTTTTACATAAGAATCTGTAGGAAAAAGAATCTGATGATGGAAAACAAGAATGGCCAGTTACTCAGGTGAGCATTGTGGCCCATGGGCCTCTTGTTTAAATATTTGGATTTAGAATAAATGTGCAGCATCTGCCATCCAATAAACATGAGATCATGCTTTACCAGCTGAAAGAATTTTAAACTGAAAATGAATGCAAATACATGTATTAGAATGACATACATGTACATGCAATACAGCTTTATTCTATAATGAAATCAGAAGAGTCCTTACTCCTTATATCATCAAATAGAAAAGAACTTTGTCATACTACATTATAACAAAAAATTCTTTCAATCAATACCTACCTCTGCAATGATGTTCAGATCTGAATCTGTCACAATGCAAGCCATTTCCAGTATATGTTCTTGATTGACATCCAGACCTGACATCTACAAACAAATTAGTAGGACAAGCCATGATATTTATAAAATGCCAACTGGGGGAGAATATATTATATTGTTATATTCAGAAAAGAATATAGTCTCTATATTCTCTATATAGAGAAACAGTCAACATATTTATAATAGCAGCTCCTCTGAAATAATTTATTTTTTACTATTGAATAGTAAAGAGAGTTTTCCCACATTTTTATTCTCCACTAGCAATGAAGTTGGAGGGGATGATAGTAACACACTTATGTGTGTGTGTGTGTGGTGGTGGTGGGGGGGGGGGGGGGGGGGGAGGTGTTAGTGAGTGTGTGTGTAAGGGAAGTCACAAAAGTAATAATTTAAATTTATATCAGAATGGATATATTCTTTTATGAGGGGATGTTGACCGCTTTGTAGTGCCTATGTTGATTAAGATTCTGTTTAAATTAATTATAAGTATTCAGATTGATTAAAATATTGTGACCAATGATACCATTGCGACTTCCGAAAAAACATGACGTCAAAATAAAAACCTAGGTAACACAACTATGGCAAGACTCGTTAGCACAACAATGATAATTAAATTACAGACAGATCATATTATATAGTGGCATATATGGGATACAAAATTTAAAGGTGAATTTGTTTCCAATGCTAAATTATTGATTTTTTTTTGGAGGGGGGGATAAAAACTTGGTTTTGGTAAAGAATAGTCAGGCAATATTTCATCCCTTATAGGCTAACATAATCAGTGTTGCCCTCAACCCCAGTTATTATTTGTATATTTTAGAATAGGTAAAGTGAAAGTGAAAGCAACCCACATGACAACACTATCTTCAACACTGATTTTACCTCGAGATCAACCCAAACAATATTGTTCTTTTCATTCATTTTCATGTGTTTAGCAGTTGATGGTTCAGAAATAGAACTCATGGTTTTACACAGAAGTAGTCTGGTATTTTGAATAAACCTCCTAAATATCATTTCTATGGAATCTCACAACAAATACAAATACAACATGTGTATCGATACAACATGAACAAGGTTGTGAAATATAATTATATGACATTGCTTAATTTAAAAGATCGGTTGTTGCAGATGTACAAGTCTATGGCCAATTTTATATGATTCACTTGAGAACAAAATATTTTTTATGTGTATACATTTTGTAGCAATATTTAACAAATAAGCTAAAACAACATTTAAAAAGCCTAATGTGCTTCCATACACTCCGGAAAAATACGATTTCTACCGAAGAATGTTGAAACTTTATACTGATTTTGTTTTTGAAAAATTTAAATTTAGTATATTGAATATTATTGTGAAAAATAGATTCTTTTTATTAATGAGTAAAACTAATTATTATAATTTGGAGAAAAAAAAATCCATCGCTCAATGACGTCAATGAAGAATGGCTGCCATGATGGAAGCGTGATTTCTTGAAATAAAAGGTTTGTGATTACAGCATAGTTTGGCATTATTCGGTTATATTTTTATGTAATTAAAAATGTTGCCTGTTATAATTATGATTAATACAGAATGCACTATAAATTGATGATTACAAGTAACGAAATTTAATGATTTGCTCAAGTTATCAGGTTATGAGCTGATGCCACCGCTCCTGCAAACGAAATTTCTTTTGAAATATATTTTAGAAATTTAGTTAAACAGGTGTCTATATATGCTAATATTACAAAGAGCCTTTTATGACTTTTGCTTACTGGAAGATTCCACTAGATTTTTACATGAAATATAAGAGTTATACCGAAAACCATTTATGCATGGAGTTTCTTCCCTTTGATATGTGAAACAATCAGGAACATTAAATTTATCGCTTTTCTGCACTACAACATAGTTAGATACATGTACTGTGAATAATAGTAATTTTGTTAACAAATTGCTCCTCCTCCAATAGATAGAATGTTCTATCGTTAAAATGATATTGTCCTACAGACCCGGTTTAACGATAGAATTCGTTCCGTGTATTCACAATGTAGCAAAATAAACACGGGCGATAACTCGAATTCTGTGCATTTTCTATGAAGAATCCAGAGAGTTCCGAATGTCAACATGGCGTTAAATTTGAAGCGAGCAAAAAACGTTGAGAAAATGAGTTGAATTTTCGTATATATATGGATTAATTTTTAGGTTAAAAGGCATATACAATCTCAAAAAGGTTTGTTATGATTAATTTGGTAGTTATTTTCAGTGCAACTCATTTTGTATTCTTCAGAATCATTTCGGAGTGGATCCACTCCGATTTGCTACATTGCACGTATATGGGACGTATTCTAACTGTGGTGAGGGCCTGTCCCCAGACACAGTTAGAATATTCTAACTACTCCTCCAAGTGCTCCAACACAAACAGGTTTGGACCAATTGCCCAAATGGCATGTAACAGCTCTTTTAGGATATTGTTGACAGTGCAACCATTGGGCGAATGCATTATTCACTTAATTTTAAGATCCGCCTCTTCAAACTGCACAAGACATTTGGAACGTCTAAACTGTGACATCACATGATGTCCTATATTAACTACATTTCCATAAACAAAGTTTGAAAAGTGCAAAAATTTTAACAAAGAACATTTAATCTACTATCTGTATGCAATATCCATTAGATTAAGGTGAATTTATTTTTTTGTGAATTTTTAGTTGTTGTTACTGCATTAACGAAGTTAGCAGCGAGAACAACATGCGATGCATTGTGTAGGGGTGAAACAATACACCTCCTTCATGGTTCCATACGTATTGTATAATTTTGTCTCGGTACGGTTATTTTCGATATGATACATTTGGTAGAAGGAAACATTCAACATTGTTTTATGCTTTCTTTTACTAAATCTAATAACCTAATTTACGAATTTTATTTGCAAATTGACTAGAAGAAATTGATTAGAATGATTTGACTGTCAAAAATTATTTCACAAACTTTCAGTCCTCAAAAATTTACGTTTTCTATAAATTCTATACTTACTAATACTGAGTAATGTGTTTTACCTTATGCCAAACCCTACTGAATAACGATTCCGACCGAAAAATGAACCGAAAATGATAGATTTGCGCCTTATACCAAACTGAGAAAAAGTACTGCAGTGAATTGATACCGTGGTGAACCGTTTCACTCCTAGCATTGTGGGTCCAGAATTACTGCGAAAAAAAAATTCTTTTGAATGAATGGGCAGTAGTCTGAATTTTCTCTTCGCCCAGGCATTGTTGTTAGAGCTTACAGTGACGAGCAGCACTTTGCGCCGCTCACTGTAACTGCTGTAATATCCCAAATGGAATATAAATTTAGAGTGCAAAAAAGGAAAACTTTTTATTTTACTGTAAATATATTATGAATCCACATTGCATTCAATTCATATTTACGCAAATTTATGATATTTATAGCAGAGCTCCCACTGGAGCGAAAATATTTTTCGCCACTTTTCACGATGAAAGGAATTGCATTCTTACATCTTGTCTCGACAAGTGTATAATTATTATGCTAAACACTCCACTAATCACACTATTTCAATTTGTTTATATCACAGGCATTGTTTTAAAATTGTAAAATTGAAACCTGTATCCACTTACAAAACTAATATAGGAATTATTTCCACTTTTATACAATTAATTTGATACTGATATTAGCCAACTCTTGACAGTAGATGTCCTCTTGTTCATAACATTTTTTTTTTGAGCCTGGGGAGGGGGGTTACAGACTTAGTAAAGATATATGACATTTTTTTAAAAATGAAAAAATAATATAATAAGTAAAAATTTTAATCATATCAACAATTTATTGTGAAAAGAAGTAATTAAAATCAGGTTTAAATCTTGGCTTAATTTAACAGCTTGGACACTGGGTGTATGCATGTTAATTCACATAATTGAAAATAATTCAGCATAGTTGACAAAAGTATTGTTTTGTTTCCAAGCCAGTATTTTTCACTCTTTGTCAGTTTATAGAATAATGAACACACTATTTTAACTTTAATCAGGTAAAATTAGCAGCCATGCTCTGCAATTTTTGTCATGTTTTCCTACTTTCATTTTTAAAAAACAATCTATGTAGATCCAGATTTTATTGATTATAGTCTTTTATTAACTAATTACATCTCCCCAAAACACTTTGTCTTTCCTTTTTTAATCCATTTTATGTTATTTCAAGTAATTTTGTATCCCCTTACTGCTCCAGACAAAAGTTACCTAGTCAGCTGTATGCGTTCAAGCGAGATGTCATTTCCTACATGTACATTGTTTTCACACCCTGAATACACACGTCTGCTTGCATTAAATAAACAAAGGGGCTAATCTGTATACATTGAATAAACAAGGGAGATAGCTATGAGTACACACACTTTTGTATGGTATATCTAAAAAAAATTTCATTTATGCCACTTTTGAATTTTTTTTTTGCCACTTTTGAAAAAATTCACAATTGGCGAATCACAGCTCGAGCCCTGATTTATAGCCAAAATATAATTTTTTTTATTTTTTGCACTGTAAATTTATATCCCGCTTGCGATGTTATCAAACTGCTATTATATCCCATTTTGGCGATTGGTCCCAACATGTCCAAGACAATAAAAAATTTAAAGAGAGATATGTTTCTTGCAACCCAAATGAGAACAATCGGCTTTTTTTCCACGAAGTTTGTCTTGTGCTAAAATGAAGTTTGTCTATTGATTATCATTTAGAAAACAACAATTAAGAAAAGAAATGGCACATTTTGTGTATCCAGCAGCAAATCCACAGCCAGCTGCAGCTTACCCAGCGGTGCAGACTGCGTATGTTGCAGCAGCACCACAAGCAGCTTATGCTACAGCTGCACCACGAGCAGGCCAAGCCTATGATAGTTACCAGACGGCACATGCAACGCCCCAGTATGCATACACTACCAGAACCCAGGTGGCAGTGACAGTAAGCAACATTTTTATAAGTATATACAGTTAAACTTCGTTATCTCGAAGTTGACGGGACCATTGATGAACTTCGAGATATCCGGGGGTTCGACATATCGAGGGTTATAATTCAAATGAACTTCAAATAATAAACTTAGTGCAGCGAACATGTACTTAATAGTTAAAACTAGGGCTGGATCAATATATCGGTAATCGGTATATATCGGTATTTTTTAGTGATACGATAACCGATACAGAGATGCTTGCGTATTGCTCGATTATTTCGACGTTTAATTAAGAGAAAAAAATGTCTTTTCGGTAAGCCAGAGCGACTAACATTTCAAACGACTTCTCTAAAATCCTCTAAACGCATGACTTCAAAGCAAATAAACATGTCGAAGGTGTGGTGCCATTACACAAAAGTCAGCTGTAAAAAGGCAAAATGTAATATTTGTCTACAAGAAGTCGCAAGTTCTGGTGGAACAACAAACCTATCTACCCATCTTAGACGGCATCACAACATTGACCTGTTTGCTACCGTGAAACGTGGAGGCAATTCCGGTAGGTAAAATGGCGCGTCGAACAAATCAAAATCATGGAATCGTGGAAACCGATAATAAAATATCAATCAGATTTTTTAAATCTCTAATATATATATCATAGTTTATTTAAACTCAAAGCAATTTGGTAAAATATTTTAGCTGCCATTACTTCCACAAGTAACGTGAATACGATGTCAAGTATCAACACAGTCAGCGTAAACACATTAGCCCCACCTGCAGTGAAAAGTGTCAGTTCTACTTCTGTTACCCCATGGACCATCGCTAGAACAGCAAAGTTGCCATCTGCAAAATCTAACGAGATTACTAATGCAGTTGTAGAATACATAATCCAGGACCTGCGACCTTATAGTACAATTGAGAGCCCAGCTTTCAGGTAATGTACTCTATTTCATCGATATGATAATTCCTTTTGATAAACAATGATAAATTCCCTGAATTATTTCATATACTATCTTGTAAGGAATAATTTTTTTTTTTATAGGAACATGCTCTACCAACTTGATCCTAGATATCACCCACCTAACAGACATACTGTCAGTGAACAATTAATACCTGCACTTTTATCTCAAGAACAAGCTAAACTTCAAACTGATTTAAGTGCAGCAAAAGCTGTGGCTCTGACTTCTGATGCATGGACGTCACGCGCAACAGAATCTTACTTAACAATTACTTGTCATTATTTGAAAAAACCTGAGTGGAAATTATGCTCAAAAGTTTTGCAGACAGAAAAATTTGGAGGCAGTCACACTGGAGACAGAGTGGGATTTGAGCTCAGATCAGCTATGATGAAGTGGGGTATTGAGAAAAAAGTTAAAGTTATTACAGTGGATAATGCTTCAAATATGGACATAGCAATTCAGGTATTAGGAGCAGAATTAAAATTGGGATGCTTTGCGCACACGCTTAACCTTGCCTCAAATAAGGCATTAACTGACCCTTCGCTTTCAAAAGTCCTTGGCAAGGTAAGGGCAATAGTAACATTTTTTCACAAAAGCAATATAGCAACTGAACTCTTGAAAGTGAAACAGGAGGGACTTAACATACCCATTCATAGATTAATCATGGACTGTAAAACAAGGTGGAACTCCACATACAGCATGCTAGAAAGATTTCTTGAGCAAAGGCCTGCGATTTTAGCTACTTTACTTGATGACAATGTAAAACGCTTAAATCAGAAGGGAAAGATAGTGGCTGGAATGTTAGATTCAGAGATTCAGAGATGTGAGGAGTTTGTGGAAGTCATGAAAATAATGATGACAGCAACAGTAGCACTATGTGAAGAAAAGTCACCTACCGCAGGACTTATTTTGCCTTTATTAGGAAAACTTAGGAAGCATTTTACAATTTGTGACACTGACTCGGCATCTTTGAAATCAATAAAAGAGTTGGTTGGCAAGAATCTAGCAGTAAGATACACACAACAGAACATTGTTCATTTTCTAGAGGAGGCAAGTGCCCTTGATCCCAGAACTAAAAAAACTACCATGATTGATGAAGGAACATGGGAGAGAATCATCAACAAATGTATTACTATTGTGGCTTTGTGCAAAGACAACATAATTGTCAAGCAAGAACCAGGAGCTGAATCTGAAATTTCTGCCAAACCAGCCCTACCAAGTTTAAATATGGAGCTTGACAGTAGCTCTACTGCACCTAAAGATGAAAAAGATGTTGCTGCTTGTGAGGTGATAGCTATTTTGCTAATTTCTACTTAATGATTAAATAATAAATAAGCACTAGCTACAGTATGTTATTTACTAGGAAATGTGTATTGAAAATCTTTTAATAAAATTATACTTTATAATTTCAGCCTCCACTGAAAAAGTCAGCTTTGTCTTCGTTGTTTGATGATGACATAGAAGTAACACATGTAGATCCTCCTTTACAGGATAGTGAGATTGCCAGAAGGGAAGTAGAAAAATACAGGGGTATTCCACAAACAAGCATGTTGGAAAACCCTCTTCTTTTCTGGAGGGAAAGAAGTTTTGACTTTCCAAATTTGATTGTTCTAGCTGAAGAATATCTCTGTGTTCAAGCATCATCTGTAGCTTCGGAAAGAGTATTTAGCACCAGTGGCGACATCGTTTCAAGCACAAGGGCCTGTCTGAAACCAGACCAAGTGGATGCTTTGGTTTTTCTCAAAAAAAATATGGACCAACAATGACATTAATCTGTCTTGCACTGTCAATTCAAAGGGAATAAAATAACAAGGATTTAAAATGTAGTTTTATTTTATTATAAATTTATGCTGTAATCAAAAAATACTAAGTAACCCCTTTAAAAAACACACAACAAACAAAATAAGAGAGTGTTTTCTAATTTGTCTGTATCGACAATACGTATTGCATATCGCATCTCTGTATCGCAATATGTATCGTATCGAAAAAAAGATTTCAGTACCCAGCCCTAGTTAAAACATGTCAAATTCCAAATTCTGTATACAATTTCTTATATATACATGCACATGTATTTAGCAATAAAAAGATTTTTACGTCCTCTTTATAATTCACAAAATAAAAACTTTATATAATATGCACACAAGTATAATCCTTAGAACTACCAACGCGGCAAGTCAACCGCTAGCATCGCTTCCCATGTATACATAACCGGATATCGTCTTTGCATTGTAAATTTAAAACCGGTTGCTGTCAGAAAAACGAAAACGAAATATGCATTTTCTTTTATTGGAAAAACATGTTCATACATGTATAATCAGTTAAAAGAAAATTATTTTACCATATGATAATAAGATCAAATGCAAAAGAAGAATCACGCACTTTTGTCTAACAACAGAACAACACTGAATCACAGGGCACTTTTGCACAAGTTTTCACTGCGACACACGCTCACATGATGGTGTGTACGGACGATTGTAAATTCTCCATGCTCATATAGGAAAAATAAATTCTAATTGCATTAAATTACAGAATTTTGTTTTACTTCGATGTTTATTATTTTCACTTTCGTATGCATAAACTATGTATGCGCGCATATTTCACAGCATTAAATAGTGATTATCAAGATAAACATACCCAAGCCACAAAACAAATTAACATGTCATCCACGCGTATGCATTAGACTAATACACACAACCTTTGGCTTGCATAATTAAAATCAAGGTTAGCCATTTATACACTTCGTATAATATCGCGCTATTATCTGTTGATCACAGGAACACAGGTAACCCGAGCGTGACAGACAGGTGGTTGTTATAAATAGAGCATTCAGTTTACGTAACGGACTTGATCATCAGAGCGGAAAATTATCCCGACTTCGAGATAACGCATGTGATTTTAATGAATGGGTATACAATTTTACTTCGAGATAACCGGGGTATTCGACATTACCGTGTTCGACATAGAGGGGTTTATTTTAATCATTTATAAAGCAAATTTCGTCGGGACCATGGCCTTACTTCGACATATCCGGGGTATTCGACATATCCGTGTTCGAGATTTCGAAGTTTAGCTGTATTTGTCTTTGTGTTTCCAGTTTTAGAATAATTTTGAAAACAAGACTTGGGGGGGGGGGGTTCATCCAGATAATAGTGCCACTGTGCCAGGTTTCATGACTTTAACTGATGTTTTAGACATATCAAGATATGTTTATTGCAAGTGTGAATATGTGAAATGTGTATTAAAAGTGTTAATTTAGTGTAGTTTCACTCTTTACTTACTGATACATTGAAGTCTGACATTTTTTTTTAAATTAGCCTGCAGCAACATATGATCAGAAAGCGTACTATCAACCTGCAGCTGCTGCACAGGCTGCTGTAGCATACACAGTTGCAGAAACTCATTATCAAGCAGGTGATTATTTTAAACTCTTTTATTTCTTAGATTTTACTGTTTATATCACTTCGTTGAAATAGTTACTATGAATCATGTAATCTTTAAAAGAAAAAAAATAAGGATACCATTTTTGTTTTTCAGCTAACAAGCCCACATACTCCACAGGAGCTTACCAGTCCACACAGAGGGCTGTTGTTACACCTAAAAGTCACACACCCGTACAAGCTTCAAGTGCTGCAACATATGTGTACCCAGCGAACACGAGTCAGCCTGTCTCCACATACAGCACCACAACATATGCTACCAACACCACTGCCAGTGCAACATACACAGGGAAAGGTAACTCTTGCTTTATTAAATGTTAACAGTTTTCCAATATGTCCCCAATTACTAGACTTTGATAGCTTATTTAACAGGTCAGAAGCAATGTTTTCCCAGTCATGAAAGTTTCATGCACTTCATTAAAATGTACCTTGACATGAGTGCTCTGTTTTCAGATTTTGCAGCTTAGTCATTTTATTTGAGCTTGCATTTCTTATTTTAGGGATCATGTATGAAACAATACATATGCTTCAATAGTTGGGATAGACTGGTACATGTATAAATAAACTGATCAAAAGCCTTATATATACTAGATATAATTCAACATATACAGGTTATCATTTGGGATTAACTACCAGTTTTATTTGTTTGTTGTTTAATAACATGTTCTTAATGTGTATGTTTCAGAGTTCTCCATTAACTAAATATTTAATTGTAGAAGATGGCACCATAGACGGACAGAATCAACCTATCCTTATTTCCTGTTCTTTATTTCAAAAATTGAATAAGAGGAAATTGATTTCGATTATCACTGTTTTGAGCCAGAATGTCTTGGTACATTTTGAAAATCATTCATAGTTATTTAATTGTGTACTGTCATGGGTTCAGGAGATTACACAAATGTCTTTGATCTGTGCTCGGAATTGATCTGTTGCATTGTGTCAAAATGAGAGCAGATTAAAGATAAGCTTCTCACACATTTTTTAAAGGGAAAAAAAGTACGAAACAGGGGGATGCTAAAGGAAAGGAGAATCTTTTTGTTTTATTGTTCTGATTACCTGTACTTTTTGCACAGGTTTTCAGATTTTGACCAATTGTCTAGTAATTTATATACATAAATATAGTAAATGTAATGTATGACAAGTTTACATTAGTACAAGGTAGAAAGCACCCCCACCCCCACCCAAAACATCATCTACCAACACTTACTTACATATAACCCTTTCACTCCTGGAAATCTAAATACTGTAGCTATATGTCATATCCATATGACAGTACATGTCAGTCTAGTTATTTGTTGCTTAATATCTTCACTATCTAAAAGAACTTCTGTCTTGGGTTATTGATAAAGACATTTGATTCTTTCTACATGCCATAATCATGTGAAAGGGTCTATTGCACCCAGAGTTCTTTTATTCACTTGGGAAAACACTGCTGGGGATTTTACTAATTTGCTTAAAATCAGAAAATTTCCCACATCTCCATTGAAATAATTTACATGAATGGAAATCACTTGACTGTGAAATCAGTATTTATATATATGGGAACTCAATACAATGTATGTAGTAAGATGTATAAAATGTTTGATAAATATGAGGAAATTTTCTGATTTTCTGTAGTGACTGCTGTGTGAATTTCTAGCCTCCATACATTTATTTCAGCCAGTACAGGAGCTTCAAATTACACTGCCTACAAGCAGACAGTTCAACCAGTAGTTATAAAAGGTTTGTATTGCCAACACCTTCAGCAAGGTCATCACGAGACTAGACCAGTTCATATTGTAGGCCTGTTAGTTGTGTTGTTTACCAGAGTGGCATCCATTTGTTTGATCATAAAAAGTTTTGCATGTTTAAAATGTAGGCTCTAATTAGTGTTCTGATATGATTATTTATTGGTCAGGATTTAACAGACAAGTGCATCAAAATGTTGTTCATGACAGAAAGTAGAATTCCAGAAAGAAAGAAATTAAATTCATTCACAATCCTAATTGTGTGGCTTACATGTATATCACTGACTTCCCTGAACTTTGCTCTCAATAATCTCATTTTGCATCAACTAAAAGCAAATGCAATAGTTTCAAATATACATTTTACAACATTTTTATAAGATTAAATAAAAGTCCTAATCAACTTATAAATGATAAGTATTGGTAGTAGTTACAGAATACCTGATTCCATGTTACAGGTTATGATGCTGCTTTGTATTCCGCTGCCACTTCATACTACCAGCAACAACAACAGGCTGCCAAGACAACAAGTAATTGGCAGGTAAAGAAGGCCGGGCAGACAGGTAAAGCCAAGCCCAAGATTCCTCCTAAACAGCCACAGCTCCACTACTGTGATGTCTGCAAGATCAGCTGTGCTGGACCTCAGGTATTAATACCATCTTAGATTTTTATACCCCCCGCAAACGAAGTTTAGGGGGGGTATATTGGAATCAGCATGTTCGTCTGTCTGTCCGTCTGTCTGTAGACGAGATTTTGTCCGGACCATTTCTTGGAAACTGTTGGAAGGATTTGTCTGAAAATTTGTACACTTATTATTCACCATATGAAGGTGTGCACCTGGTATTTTCATTATGATTGGATAATTATTTTGCATTTTACAGGTGTTTTTTCATTTTTATTATGTGGTTTTGTCTGGATCTGTTCCCAGAGACTATTGCATAGATTTGTATGAAAATTTGTACACTTATTATTTACCATATGAAGATGTGCACCTGGTATTTTCAACATTATTTGATAATTTTTCTGCATTTTACAGGTGTTTTTTTTTAATTTAATTTATTGACTTAGTCATTTCGGGTTCATGTCTAAGGTTTGAGACATAGAATCTAGAACATCTGTACAAAAATGTGAACTACAGCTTAAAACTACTCATTAGAACTAAAAAAAACCCCACAAAGTATTAAAAACAGTTTTTACATTACACAGCAGATAGTGTAAATCCATTTGTCCCTTGGGAGTAATGAGTGGACATGCATCCAGTTAAAGATTAATTAATGAGTTCAGTGTGGGAAGCTGTTAGGGCATCTCTGATCAAGCAGGTCTTATCTATATCTCAGGGGAATTGGGCAGAAAGAAATAAAGATCTCTGTTGTCTAAGTCTCTTAATTGTAATTTATGCCTGTCAAAATACATAGTTACTAAAACCAGCCTTTTATTTTTAAAATGAGTTTGATATAAAGGTATTAAAATCAATTTGATTTTCTATAATTAATTATGATATTCTTTTTTTCAACAATCAATTTGCAGAGTGTCATGTCTCACAAAGATGGCAGATAGTTGCAAACTATTTTTTCAATGTAATAAAAAACACTGTAATTATTAGTGTTGATGCTTTATTAGGCTGCACCTTAGTTTCATTCATTAAATAAAGTGCCCCACCACAGCATGATACACCCATCAAATATTGTTAAATTATCATAAACAGCTTAGATTCAATTGTTTGAATGACATCTTAGCAAGACAAGGCAGTCTGCAATTTGTTGTAAAGATATAAAAATTCAAATAAAAAATGTACAATAAATAATTAGTTTAAATTATATTATACAATATCATATAACTTTTAATTATTATATACAATATCAAATTAGTTTTAATTACATCAAATTTATCTTGAAAGTAAGACTAGCCAACAAGAACAATTCAATACAACACAAGCAATTAATTAAGAGACTGATTCCTTTTGCCCAATTCCCAAGAGATGTAGATAACACCTGCTTGATCAGAGATGCTCTACCAGTTATCTCCTTACACTAAACTCATTAATTTCTCTCTAATTTGACATGCAATTTTCTGCTATCAAAATTTTCCTTGACCAGTGCCTGATCATTACACTCATGGGAGAGGTGGAATTTTTGTTGTTACAGATTGCTGTAAAGAACATAGTGAAAAAAAATAAGACTAGTATTTTCTTGATTTAACACTTTTTTAATAAAGATACTGCAATACTCTGACATCTTTTGGGACTGTGTAATTTAAAAGTTAAAAGACATAGTTTTTTGATTCTAAGTCTAATGGTTTTCTAGTTATGATTTTTCCATATCTGGCCATAGCGTCTTTATTAAAGGTCAGAGCAACCTTGTTTTAATGTGCGACACACCTTCTACCCTAGATGTGTCAGCTGACAAAGTTTGATAATTCTCGGCCTAATAGTATTAAAGTTATGAGCCGGATATGAAAAAGCTAACGGATGGACAAACATGAACGCTATAACATAATACGTCCCGTCGTAAGACGGACGTATAAAAATATATAATGAGTAATTAAATTTTCACTGTAAATGTTTAAGGAAATTGTGAACACCTCTCACATCTAGAAAACATTAGTGATTTGGTACTTTCTCTGAAAAACCCAGCGGGGGGTATTTGTCCCTTTTGGACAGTTCTAGTTTCAAATGTTAATAATTTAGATAAATAGCCATGCTTGACTTCATGTGCATGAACCTCCTATTATATATGGATAGGGAAAATTTACATACCAAATTGATTAAATTACAATACTTTGTCAAATTCTCCAGTTAAATTTTGAATTGAAATCTTTTGGAAAAATGTATTGAATTTTTTGTTGCAGACATACAGGGAACATTTGGAGGGACAGAAACATAAGAAGAAGGAGGCGGCAATGAAGACAGGGACCTCCTCTTCATCCAGTGGGCGTGGCAGTCAGAATCAACTGAGGTGTGAACTGTGCGATGTTACTTGTACTGGGGCTGATGCCTATGCTGCTCACATAAGGGGATCAAAGCACCAAAAGGTAACAAATGATTTAGTTTAAGTTGAAACAGTAAGAAATTGTTCAAAAGGCTTGATGTATATTCAGATATTCACCTTTTTCTGATAATTTGGTAATATTAGCTCCAGTATAATGTAAACCAACTTTTATTCGCGTGCGAGAAATATTCGCAAGTTTCGTGACCTACTTTAGCTCGCGAATATTAATCTCTGCAAAATTTATTTTGCTTTGTATTTGTAGAGAATGTTTCTCAGTCGCGAAAATTATTTGTCGAAGATCGATTTCAAACTGACAAATCGCAAATAAAAGATTATGTGAATAATAGTTGGTTTACAGTAATAAATAAAGTATGAAGTGTTGCATGCAGTGCATTTGGAAAAAAAAGAAACTAATCAGTTAATCTAGAGAAATCAATATCTCTAGTATTATAGCAATAAAAATGGAATTGATGCCTAAAATGAATTTTTTGAATACAGGTGTTGAAGCTCCACACAAGATTGGGGAAGCCCATTCCCTCCACAGACCCAGTAGTTGTTTCCCCTTCTGCCAGTGGCACTTCCTCTGTTGCTAAGGTTGCCAGCAACACATCCACAGCCTCTGCTAGTGTTACCAAGCCAGCTGTTAAATCAAACATAACACCCATAGCTCCTACCAAAAAAGTCCTGTCAACACCCAAGATTACATTCATAGGTAAAGCTGAGCACATTACTCCATCTTATCTGTTTATATAGAATTGTAATGAAGAATTTAAGATTGTCATGATCCCATGGCATGTTTTTGAAGAATTTAAACGATCAAAAAATTGAAAGATTACATATTCTCCATATGTCTCTAAAGGTGGAACGCAGCTGAAAACACTGGATGTGAAACCAGTTGAGGTCAAAGTAGAACCAGCAGCTACCAAGTCAGGAGAGAGTCTGAATACTTCATCCACATCTGCCTCAAGTAATGATGGTAAGCTTTCCATAGGTGCAAGTGACAATGAAATCAAAAAAATTAATAATGATTTAAAGGCAAAAAATATGGTAGATAACATTGTCCCAATCTCTTGAGTCATTGACTTAACATTATTTGAATTGTAAAATCAGTTAATAGATCAGTAAATTCAGTGACTTCTTGAATTGATTTGTAATTAATTTAGATACATGTATACTGTAGATTCCTAAATATTCGCGAGGAATTAATTATCGCGTAATTATGCGAGAAGCATCTCTCGCGAAATAAAATTACTCGTTTTTATTTTTATTGTGCTGAAATCCATGTAAAATCAGTTGATCAACCATCCATTCGCGAATTATTGTTCTCGCGATTTGACGTTTAAGGGCCATTTCACGATATTAAGTACCCACGTAAAGTAAGGAATCTACAGTATTACATTTTGATTGTTTTTCTTAATAATGATCGATCATGAAATTGGAAGTGATTCTTACTGCATGTTTTGATTTCCTTAGTTCTTATTTATCTGATTCCATTGTAGATAAAGACGAGGATGGTGATCCACTGAATATTCTGGGTGAAAAAGATGTTACTCCTGTGGGTAGGTTCCTGTATTTATGTTTAGGATACCAAAAACGGGAATTATTTTGATAATACATTTAAGTGCTTTACAATTATGTAGTATTTATTGCATATTTAAGGACATGAGTACATTGAAGAAGTTAGAAATGAACAGGGCAAGACTGTTAGCTTCAACTGTAAATTGTGCGAGTGCAAGTTCAATGATCCTAATGCTAAGGAAATGCACATGAAAGGGAGACGACATAGGTTGCAGTACAAAGCAAGTACAATACTCAGCATTGATGCAATCCAAATATGTTCTTCATTTCATTTTCATCATTGTTGAAAAAAGAAAAAAATTAACAAACAATTTATCTTGTAATATAGAAAAAGGTGGATCCAAGTTTACAAGTGGAAGTAAAGCCAAGCATCAGAGCCCGAAAAATACAGGAAGAGAAGGTGCGACGTCAGGCTCAGAAAGAGGAATTCTGGCGACGAAGAGAACAGGAACAGAGATGGAGAGAAGAAATGAGGTGTGCATAACTTAAACTAAAAAATACTTTAAATTTTGTATTAGCTGTTTAATCTATTCACCATCAGTGTTTTTATGTGAAAAATTTGCTCATCCAAAGGAATAACAAGCCAAAGTCAAAATTTATGTTTTATTGAGACTCTGCTATATCTAGTGAAACTTGTACTTGCTTTAAATAAATATGGTTCAGACATGTATGTGTTTTGTATCCTTTAATTAGAATGGAAGAGGAGATATATTGGGAGGAGAGAAGGAGATACGAGGAATTGGAATACTATGAGTGGCAGAGACAAGGACGGCCAGGCATGCCTCCTCCTCGACCATTCCCACATGGACCAGGGGGACCTATGGTAGTGTAACTAGTTTGTTTTCATAATGGGAAAAAAACTTTTTATAGATGGTGCTATATTGGTGGACTGTTGATTATTTTTGTTTTTGTAGGGAATGAGAAGGCCAGACTCATCTGATGATCGTCATGTGATGTCTAAACATGCAAGCATCTATCCTAATGAGGCAGAGGTCAGAATCTCAATTCTTTTATAGACTCACTTATCAGATTATGGAAAATTTTGTTGAACAAGACATATTTTGTTCATGTTTTATAATAATGTGTTACTTTGATTTGACAGCTTCAAGCCGTGCAGAATATAGTGTCTCTATGTGAAAAAGCCCTGAAGAATGTTTCCGACTTCCTGGCAGAAAGGTAGAATGAAAAATGCCCTACTGATTCATCAAGTTTGTTTATTTATTTGTAATACAATATTCAATGTACCTTTACATACATGTACATAATTGATAAATTGAATTTCACAGTGATGCACCAAAGTCAATGGATGTAGACAAAAACAAAAAAGAGGACAAAGGAGTCAAAAAGGAAAAGGAAGAGCCAAAGGAAGGGTGAGCTCACACTTATTAAAATTTCAAAAATTACCAACTTACAATTTTTTTAACTGATATGCATGAAATAAGTTAAAAAAAAAATAAACTTGCAGTAAGATGATAAGGTGGTGCTAAAGACCAACAATTTGTCTAATGTTTTAGAGAGAAGAAGGAGGAAGCAGCCATACCACGAGTTCTGAAGGGGGTGATGAGGGTTGGAGTTCTTGCCAAGGGTCTACTGTTACACGGGGACCTAAATGTAAACCTTGTGGTTCTGTGCTCAGAGAAGCCAACCAGGACTTTGCTGGAGAGAGTGGCAGATGCTCTTCCTAAGCAAATAGCTGTATGTACACTAAAATAATTTATTGAATCCCCAGTATTTTTTTTTTACAAGCTGAATACTCTCTGAATGTTTTTTTTTTTGTTTTGTTTAGAGGTAGGAAAATGGGTTTGAATGTTTTTGATGAATTTCAGGCTATCACAGATGAAAAGTACGAAGTGAAGCGATGTGTGGAAGAGGCGGCCATTATTGTCTCCAGCGAGAGTGATCCCAAAACATCCTGTTCTGTGACCTTGACCTCACCAGTTATGAGGGAAACTCAGCTTGCTGATGGAGGTCAGTCACCTTTACCTTGCATGGTAGAGAGGTCATGGACATGACAACTCTACCATCACAGTATTTATCCCTATGACTTGTAGATTAATTATTGAAGAATTTCCTTTATTATTTTTCGGAAGACTTTTTACTTTGTCAGTCAATCTATATACTGTACATACATTTATATTTCAGTAATATTGCAAAAAGTTAGAAATTCTTTAATTCTATACCCAATAGAATGACTGATAGTGGTAAGAGGAATTATTCAGGCTGTACTTCATAATTACTATGATTATAATGATTTTGTGTTCATTTTTTAACCTTATGCCTGGATTATTTCTTGAGATGTCACTAATACTGATTTATTTTCCCACTCATGGAAAGCCTTATAGAGTCGACAGTTTGAGAGGAAGGATTTTTGACCATTGATGGTGCTTGCCAGCCCTCTGCCCAAACTTGTGACTAGAGCTTGTGTGCAACATTACTGAGAATAATTTGTTTTTATAGGCTTCTTTGGTACTTTTTTTATAATCGTAGAATTTTATACATTCACATCAGCTTTACCATACTAATCAAAAGTGAAATTTCCTGTTTTCATTTTTCTGGTGTATTTTTTTTCTATTACCATTTTATGCTGTTTTCTGAAATGTTCTTGTTCATATCCACATTTTATCATCTTTTTGGTTTCTGATCTAAATATTAAGATTCTAGCAGTATGTTTTTGAAAGTAGTATGAGATGGTAGCAAATTTTTATCTAGATTAAAGCTCCAAAGAATGTTATACAATATCGTTTTTATGTGTTTTAACTTTCTGTCTTTCTAGTTGAACTTTTATTTCTTATAACTGATTTGATTAGTCTCTTTCTTTAATTTTGTCAGTATCTTTTTATTATGCTAAAGCTGTTTGTTTTTAAAATCCCTGCACACACATATAAGGTCACTAGAGTTGGCTAGGGCTGGCCCTCTAAGATATTTAACACCTGATTAAGAGAGATTCATCATTTTAATGGTCAAACACCCGTTCCTGAGTCACGTGGTTGAATGCTTGTATTAATACAGAGACATCCACTGTCACGGTTAAAGACCCACCAGATGTTTTGGACAGGCAGAAATGCCTGGATGCCTTAGCCGCTCTTCGACATGCTAAATGGTTCCAGGTTTGAAACTTTTTTATATACTTTGCAGCCTTATGAGAAGAAGTTTGCAATCCAAATACTTTGTTGATATCTGTACATTTGAGCATATTTTGCAAGTATTTTAAATGATCAATCTTTGTTTGAATGAAAAAAAAAATTCCATTATCACTTTCAGGATAAGTTAATACATGTAGTTCTCTGACAAACTGTTAAGCTTTTGAAATGGTCAGATTTGCTACAAAAGTTTGACATGCATTGGAAAATATCTCTTTCCATTTCTTTTGTGGCAAATCGCCTTCACAGCAATTTACCTTAGCAATGTTTTTCAAGTCACCTGAGCCATAGGTTGTTTTAATATTGATATTCTGATCTAAATCTGTCTGGCATTTTAGACTTCATTTCAGACACTGATTGTCATATCACCAATATGTGCTTCATTGTCTTAGAAAAAATGATTGTTTTTAGAATCCAACTTGGCTACAGTAGCTTTTGATAAAAATAATTGTTGATACACTTCATTCCTGTTTAGCAAACTTGTCATAGATGCTCCTCTGATTTTGAGGAGATTTGTCTGAACATTATTCTTCATATTTGCTTCCAACTGTCTTCGTTATACAAATGTGTTTGCAGTATGTTAATACATGAAAGTAATTTAGGGTCATTATATGCATACTTGTGAAGATCAGATTGAAACATAAATTCATGAAACATTAGATTCATGCACTGTAGCACATCCCTGTGTGTTATTAATCTAACGAATCCAGTCTAATTCTTGTGAGCAATGTGGTCTATGAGTCCCCTCTTGCTTGGAAATTGCTCATGTGAAGAATGTAATCTACCTGTAGGTAAGCTGTATGGTATATAAAAGTTCTATATTATACCGATTTTGTCAGAGAACTTGGGCTTAAACTTTTTATCTTTAACCATTTTCCTCTGGGGAGAAAAAGTTTTGTCAACTCAAATTGGCCATATCCATTTACGTAGACATGCACTGTCCCACATTGCAATCATTCTGAATACAATATAGTACTTGGTGTGGGCTGCACAGAATCGAAGCATTTACTTCAATGCTGTCACCACACACATTAGATATCAAGTGAATGCAAGTTGAGAGAGTGCTAGAAGATTGATCATACTCTGATAAGTGTAACAACATGAGGCTGGAAAGTTAAGGGTGCTGTCATACTTGCACTTAGTTGGAAAGTTCCAACATAAGAGCGGGTTGAGTAGCAGACATGGATTTACATCTGTAAGAATAGTGCAGATGTTTTCCTGGTGCATAAGAAGAATGCTTACCACAATATAACTGACAAAAAAATCTGGATTATATATGCCCTCTATTAAGATGGATGTATTTTTGAACCCCTTATGTTTGTATCCAGATTTTTTGTCCACCTGTTTCCTAGATGAACAGAAGAATTCATCATGGCTTATTTTGATTTTTAGGCTAGAGCCAATGGACTACAATCCTGTGTTGTAGTCATCCGGATTCTAAGAGACCTTTGTCAGAGAGTTCCCACATGGACTCCACTCAATGAGTGGGTAAGTATTTGAAGGCTGGAGACAGCCTGTGTAGAAGTCATTATGTATGATATGTCAGATGGATTCCAATGGGGTACAGTGAGTGGATAGACATTTTCTGTCGTGAGAGTTTTTTCAGTAGACTTGTCTTTAAAACTAAAATTACACTAATGCGGATATAGAGGTAGATGTAACATCCTTGGATTCCAATAAACAGCAGTCCTTAATGATACAGTTGGGACACTGAAAATTTTGTGATTTCCCCTGGTAATTAAATGCTGAAAAATCTGAGACTGTAACAATACTATAGATTGACTGTTGAAAGTTTGCATAAGGAATACTCTGTTTATTGGTTCTACATATTATGATTGTACCCCTACCTGTAAAAAAAATTCTGTTTCCAGGCTATGGAGTTGTTGGTTGAAAAGTGTGTAAGCAGTGGTGGAGCTAACATGAGTCCTGGGGATGCATTGAGACGAGTGTTTGAGAGTATCTCATCAGGACTTCTGCTTCCAGGTAAGGCAGAAAGAATTTTGGGGTGATTGTTAGAGAAGATCATTGCTTGTTAAATTTTACTTCTCTAGATTCATTTTACTCAACATTGTACATATATATTGTTCAGCATTATTAAAATCTTGTTTTTTGGTTGTAGGAGGGCCAGGACTGTATGATCCATGCGAGAAAGATTCTGTGGATGCTGCATCCTCGCTGACCAATCAGGAGAGAGAGGACATCACAGCTTCAGCACAGGTACATTGTAAATGTTGAACAAGCATATAAAGAACAAAGAAATTTTTAATACTGATTTCATCTTTGAAGATGTGAAACAATGAAACACTGAGAGTAAATTGTTGGTTATTTTGCAGCATGCCCTGAGATTGATTGCATTCAGACAAATCCATAAAGTGTTAGGAATGGATCCACTACCAGCACCAAAACATTTACGACAACGCATGAATCCACGGAAGCGTAGACGAACAGACAGTGCACCAGGGGAGGGAGAGGGAGAAGGTGTGTAAGAATTGTACCACATTGTTGTCTTTTCTTTTACACATATTAAAGTGCTTGGTAGAGTAAGACTAGAATTTGTAAAGTTTGTAAATTAATTTGAAGTTGGATGTTGGTCGTAAATTCTCAATTTTTAGTTACAGGTGAAAAGAAGGACAAAAAGGAGGATGATATAGACATGTCAGATGGGAAATAGGAGTTGATACAAATGTGTTTAAAAGGCAGAATGGAGAACAGAAATATGAATAAGAAAAAGATAATTTGTGTTGGAAAAATTGTTTTGTGCAACTGACATTTGAAAACAAATGTGTACTTTTTATTGCAGAGTACTTGCAAGTCTTGTGTTTAGATGTACATGTTTCTTAATTTCTTTCCTCATTGTGCATAGGAATTTTTATGTGGCTTTAAAGCTTGAAAGTATCGTTGAATTTATTAGTTCACCCATTTTTTTTTTAGCATGATATTTTATGAGAATATATGTTTTGTGTTGGAATCCATAGAAACTTGATCATGTTTTCAAATTTATACAAAGTTTGCATATTGTGTATGTGTATTTGTGACAGAATCTGTCATTTTAAATATTATATTTTAGGTCTCTTTCCTGAATATTCTAGCTATATAAACAAAGAACATAAGATGGCAGTGAGTATTTTTAAAGACACTTCTAAGATACATGTACATCAGGAAAATAGATACATTATTTTGAAGGTGTTATATTTTTTATGTAAACAGACGATCTGCTTTTCATTTGATATTTCAGAAATTCTGAATTCAGTATTGTAATAATATGCATATTTTGTCACAATAAAGGAAATTGTAGACATTACGTTGTTAAAAAGTTTGTGTCGGTGGATGTCATTATGAATATTAAAGAATAAATCAAATTTTGCGAGACTATGGCTGACAAATAATGAATATAATGGGATTCGGTACTCAGTATACTTTAACCCTATATCAGGCTTTGTGATTGAGTATTGTTATAGAAAGAAATTTATTGGGTGTCTTACAAATAGAAAATTTTCTTTTTTTACGTATGGGCGAAAAAGGGAAAGAACTTTTTTTTTTAATTTGAAAATGGAAAAAAATGAGATACTCATTTTTCAAAATGTGAATAAAATTGTTCAATAATGCAGTGCTCGAGAAACTATATATTATTATGGGGGGAGGGGGGGCTTTATATACATACATAGTTTACTCTATGCCTTGGATTACCCATTATTAGATTAGATAGTTGATCATTCACAGTAAGCATTTACATGTATTACTAATTAAGAAACATGAAAAGAACAAAATGTTATGACTGTAGAATTTTGGGAGAAATTATCAAACTGCATATAAAGAGGAAGTAATGAAAATATGTTTATTTCATGAAGAAGAGTTGAATTTTGAAATGACATTATAAGGTATTTGGTAATGCTTCTCAAGTAATGATGGCACTGATCTGCTATTTTGCTTATAAAATCCTGTATACACTTGAATTCATATTTATCAAGAAATTCAACTGACAGAGCATATGTAATGAGCCATACTTTCCTAATCTGAATGTGATTCCCTGACTAAAACACCTCCATTACATACCTACATGTAGCTATCCTTGGACATAGGTTAACTTTAGGTTAGAGGTCAATATTTATCCACTACAAAAATGTACAATGGCTTGGTTAGAAGTGAAATTAGCTTCTTGCTAGAGAATAATTTGAGATTTAGCAAACATTACTCATCCGATCGGCATCAGGCCAAGATAAAACTTTAAAATTTTATAGACTTTCCATATTTGCAAAGAACTTCCAATGGAAGACCTATAAACCTCTGCTGGCTTTTGAAGTTTCTTGTATGATATTGTCTCTAAGGATAGTACAGATTAATTGGACGCGGGTTATATTTGATGTTTTGGTAATCCAAAATGTGAAGTTGAGGCTTCATCCAAGTGACCCACACCAACTATCATGTTTAACTATCATTCTTATTTTTTTTCAGTTTTATATAAGACAAATTTGTGGAGGAAAAAACACATTTAAGCTTCATATGGATAGTTCTATAAACAATAAAGAGAGCATTTTATTTCGTAAATTCTAGCATTTTTAACTGAAGTCCGTTATTAATACATCAAATATAAACAAATAACTGTGAGAAGGATATCACTATACATTGTTTTATTTGTGTTTAATTCGTGACACTGATACGGAACCTTTTCAACATCAAGTCCGCAAAGTCAAAGTTTACCAATCAGACTTATTAAACGTACGAACTATCTTTTTCTTAAATGAATTTTGGTCATGCTATTTGCAGTAAAATATTATGGATGAAAAATGGAATTTAGTAAATTTCAGAACCATACTAAAAATAAAATTTTTAAATAAAACAATAAGAAAGCACCTTTTTAAGGTACAGATTTATCATTATATGTATTTATAATCTCTGTATTGCGTAAAAACATTTTTACGTTCTCAACTTATTGTTTCCTGTAAATAGCACATACTCATTATCTTGCGTAAAAATAGAAAACAATGTAGGACTACTACAAAGTCAGAAAAATTGCAATGTTTTTGCAATGTTGCAAACCGTTGCTGTTGCTGTATTGGGAGGAGAAAATTATTGAAGTTAAATGATACCAAAATGGACGTCCAGTATTATTACGCTTGGTTGTTACTTATGTGTATACACAGGCTCAGAGCAGGTGCGATGTTCTTTATCAGTTGATTAGATCTTTATTGTTTTTGACGTACACTTTTTTATTTTTGCTTATGGCTACAATTAACCTGTATAAATATTTCAATTTTCTTTAATAATTGTAGAATTTTATTGTAACTTAGTGTTTATCTGTTCATGCTATTCATTATTTGTGTGTCAAAAATATCCAAATAATAAATGACCTGGACAGTCATCTTTGTTCATGTCAGCCTATTTGGATCGTAGAACTCAGCAACGTTATCTTTTAGAATGCCATCAGTAGATTTTTTTTTAAAATTTTATTCTACCTTGAACTTGTTTTTGCATACACAATAACACTTATTCATTTCAGTAGCTACAGCTACATAGACCAACATTTATCTTAAGTAGTAGTAATTATTTACAGTGAATTCACACTTCAAGGGAGTGATTTTTATTTGCTTTAATTCTAAAACATAATTGTAAACAGATATATTAATGAAATACATTTTAACAAATAAAAACTCTTTGTTCCAGGCATTTTCTTGTAAGTATTAGGTGCCGTTTTGGTATTTGTCTAGTGATATTACCTATTTGAACCATAGACACTCCCCAGCTTAATTGTTGAAAAATATATATATATCTACTATACTATTAACATAATGTTAATAGTATAGTAGATATATATATATTTTTTTCAACAATTAAGCTGGGGAGTGCCTATGATTTGAACAGGTGATATGACCTATTCAAACAAGTGATATCACTCATTCAAATTTAATAGGTGATATCACCTATTCAGTTAGGTGATATCACTCATTTATATAGGTATTTGCAATAAGTACGTGAAATCACCTATTTGAATAGGGAATATCACCTTTCAGATTGAAAAATTTATATCACCTATTTGAATAGGTGATATCACCTATTCATTTACACAAATAAGTGATATCACCTGTTTGCATTTCTTTCTTCAAGACAATCTAGCTTCAATGCACGTAAAGGATGAAATTTCAAAAGGCTTGTGAAGAATAATTTTACTTTCTTAGCATTGATTCAAAAATGATGATATTGATTTTGTTACTCTTAAACAAACTTTTTTAAAAAGACAAAAGATTCTCTGGACCTGTTGAACTTATTTTGAGCCATATCCTTTACTATATTGGTATTGATTGATCAGATAATTTGAAGGTTTTCTGAGATCTCCTTTTTGGCACAAAGGAGGGTGTGTGTGTGGAGGGCACTGTTCTTGTTATATATACACAAAAATGGGTCCATAGAACAATCTGATTTTACATATGATTTCGACTGATGCTAAGCAAATTCAGACTGTTCCCCTGTGTTTTAGTCTGAGACAATTTTAAAAAATGTTATCATTCCCCGGGAAGTTATATACATTTTACTTGCTATCAGTTTTGCTATATTTATTGATACTTTCTCTCTGTTATTAATGTACAAAGAGATTGAATTTTTTACCTCCAATATAGAGTTAATGTATGCAGTAAATGTATAATCTTGGGAGCATTTGTTATTTCATACATACCTGGTAGTTTGAAAAGGTAATATCACCTTTTTCGAATAAGTGATTGTACCTATTACATGTATATTCAAAATGATATTATACTCAAAGTGTTAACAACTATTCCAATAGGTGATATCACCCATTTGACTTGAATGAGTGATATTACCTATTTGAATAGGTGATATCACCAATTCAAATCCAATAGTTGATGTCACCTATTCAAATTCGAATAGGTATTATCACAATTCAAAATGATGCAGAATAGGCATTAGCTGAATAAGTGATATAGTAGGTGATATCACCTACTGGAATATATGATATCACCTAATCGAATAGGTGATATCACTTAATGGCAGGAAATACCAAAATGGTGATATCACAAATTTAGATAAGTGACATCACAAAATCAAATCAAATAGTTGACATCATTTATTCAAAAAGGTAATATCACCTATTGAGTAGGTGATATCACAATTCAATAGATGAATAAGTGATATCGCTTACTGTAATAAGTGATATCACCTATTCCAATAGATCACTTAATTGCAGTTAATACCAAAATGGCCCCTGATATAGTAAGTCTTGAATGTTTTACTGTATTAGATAGAACATTATTCTTTCCTATGGACTCTGTTTAATGATGTAATTCACTCCATGTATGGGAATATAGCAAAATATAGCAAAATATATAGAGGCAGATAATTCTTGTCTACACATATACTATATGAGCAATTCAGAGAGTTTAGAATGTCATCATGATGCCCCACCCTGACAATGGGAAAAATTATTCTTCATTGCCATTATATCAAGCTTTAGCATAAATTCATATCTTATTTTGAACTAGGATTTTCATAAAAAGTTACATATCAATATTTAATCACGTCACATACATAGATGCTGATACATTTATAGAAAAGTTGTCCCTTGTGAACTAACAATGGTTTGCCTATAGATAAAAAAAACCTCTGATGTGCAAAGGGTTGTTGTTGTTAAATATGCATCTTATTTTATAACCTGTAGTGGAATATTAGATAAGTGGAGCAATATGCTATCATCTGAACATGTAAATTCATATAATTTTCATTCAAAGACTTATTATTTCTTTCAGCTTCATTCTTTGGAGACAGTTACTTAAACCTTCCATTTGTAAACAGTAGAGAGGTGGAGCTGAAACTTCGATTTTTGACCTGGCAGTCACATGGTCTTTTGTTTTTGGCTCGGGGATCCACAGATTACCTATACCTTTATCTACAGGATGGTCATGTCCAGATTGAAGGAGATTTTGGATCTGGATCACTGACCTGGAAATCCCAACAAACAAAGAATGATGGGAACTGGCATCACCTTGTAATCCAGCAAAATACACAGTATTTAACAGTTACTTTTGATGCTTTGGAGAGTCAGATTAGCATACCAGGAAAGTTCCATGAGCTGAATGAAAATGAAGTCTTTGTTGGTGGAATGCAGAAGACCACAAGTTTTTCGAAAAAATGGACATATTTTCGTGGTTGCTTGGGAGATGTGGAGTTTAGCAAGTATGATATTATAAGCAATGCCCAAAAATTGAACAATTCAGGGGCAGTGCATCACATGTCCTGGGACTGTGCCATGGAAATTAAAGCCAAGTCATCCTTACCAATCAATTTTCATTC